CTCCTCCCCCCTCCCCTGCGGTCACCCGCCTGTCCTCCTCCAGCTCCAGGAAGCGGCCCTCTTTGACCCGGTCCAAGTCGGACATGAGCGACCGGTACTCCCGAGCCGGGACGGAGCTGGAGCGCTTYTTCAACCTGTGCGGCCTGGACCCCACGGACCTGCAGGAGCTGAGGGCTTCCAGCTCCGACATCGTGTCGCTCGCTCGTTTCCGCAGCGTCAGCGCTCCAGGGTCCGAGTGCGGGGGCTCGAACAAGGAGGAGGAGGAGGAGGAGGAGGATGAAGACGCTGGCAAATCTGCCAATCGTACTCCTTACGGTGTTTCTGTTGTTGAGAGAAATGCAAGAGTGATTAAGTGGCTGTACGGACTGCGGCAGGCCAAGGAAAACACAACAAACACKAATTTGTAGCAAAGCGTTAACCCAAAGAAGAAACTGATTTTCAAAATAAACCTGGATGATTTTCAGAATAAGGGTYGTTATTAAACTGGTAGTAACCTGAAATATGCCCAGCTGAGGTGAAAAATAATTTCTTCTCTCTGAGTGGTTTTCATCACTTATATAAATAWTTTTTTTGTTTCTCAAAATTAGAAAAATGAATTTCTTTTTGAATCCTTTTGTTTTTTCTTTGACTTTTTGAGAAGTTAATGATGAGGCCTGTTAATTTCACTGGTGCAGCTGTGTCAGAGTGTCATTGTGCACAGATCATCCTGCTGTATATAAATATTTAAAATAAACTGATCCAAGCATCAGACTGTATGTGGTGTGTTTGAAAGAAATAAAACACTATAATGATACAATAGAAACAGTTTTTCTGTCAATTTAAAAACATTGAGATGTCATTTTTATTTATGTAAACAGGATCTTTTGTATTTTGTTCACCAGTTTGATAAAGAAAAAAAWTTACCCCTTTTTTCTTTGCCCAACTCTTCTAATCAGTTTCTTTTAAATTGGTTCAAACCTGGACTCTCAGTCCAAGTCTAGACCTTTTATTTCTGTAGGATTTCTCACTATTAATATTTTATTTCACATAATCTGAGTTCTGCATCACGCAAACAGGCTCCTAAACTCAGAGATGAATCATGTTAAACTAAAAAAAATAGATTGTAAACACAACAGAGGTTCATCCTTTCTGTTTAGGAGTATGTTTATACCTTAAATTACGGAAAGCGTAATGTCTTAAACAATCAGTTTTTAAAAAAAAATAAGGTACAAGAATGTGAGAGTAAATAATAAAACAGGTAACATCTAAATAAAATGCATTGTTGGACTTTTTGGAAGCCTAGAAAATATTGTAAACCTGTGTAAAAAWTTTTTGAAAGAGATTCAGATGCCTTCCATTCAGAAAACAGAAAAATATTTTCAGACTCTGATGTTTCCAAATCATTTTTTGTCTAAATGGTCTCTAATTCTTGGTAAAACAACAAAAAATAAAGATTCATATCTGCTCCGAATCTGGTTATAAAATCAACATTAGAGGCAATCTGTTATTTTCCTCTAAATAACTTATCAAAATGGTCTCAAACAGTTTAAATCAGTTTAAAGGGAAACATCAAAATATGAATAAAAATCCAAATGTGTTGACTTTTCTTCTCCAGCAGGCTTCATCTGATGAAGGATTTCATCCACCAGAGGTCAGAGTTCTCCCACAGACTCACTTCACTGCCTCGAGATTCCCACTGATGGTTTGAAACATTTAGATTTTATTCTTTTAAAGAACTATATACTTTAAAGAAATGACAGTCTGCAAAAATATGGAACATTCTTACTAGAAATTCAAAGTGAAAAGTGATTTTATTTAATATAGTTTGTGATTTTTAGTGACTTAAAAGTCAGCAAAGCAGGTGTAACAAATTTTATTTTCCTCCTTCAAAGTAYCACTGAACCTAAAATCAACTTTGTTTGTTTTGCAGAAAAACTGTGACTGAATTGAGCATTTAAGGTATTTTCTTTATATTTCCATGCAAATGTTGACATTTTTGTGTAAATCTGTTTAGTTTTTCTCAGTTGCTCACATTTCTTGAAACCATCCATCCATTTCTCTAAACTGTTTTTCAAACTACATTTACAGAAATTAGTTAAGTTACTTTCCACCAGGCTGTGAAGATGTTGAGCTCTCCACAAGTTCCACCCAGGCTGTCAAGAATAGACATTATTACATTACTACACCAGTTAGACATCAGGTCTAAATAGAAATGCTTTGCTGCTWCAATTACTTAATGTCTTGCAATTTTTCTATTTTGTCGTTACCTCTGACATTATTTATACTGTGAATAGCTTCTTTTTTAAAGCACTTTTTTTTTAATTTAATTACAGTTTTTCTCCATTGTTTACACTCAAGTTCTGGTACTTGAGACAAAATGATCACATGTAACCTAAGCACCAATGCCCTTATCCAGTTCTGCTAAACTGCACAGTTCCTGCAATGAAAGAAAGTGGATTAAATCCCTACGTTCATATCTACAATACATGGAGATGTAATTATGTCCTGGGAGGTTCAGCAGCTCAGTTTGGGAGGAGGGGATGTGAACAAGTCCAGACCCTCGGTGAGGACAGGAGGAGCTGTGGTGCTTCTTTCACCTGGGCTCAGAAAGACCCGCCCTCCTCTGCTCTGATTGGGTAAAACTATGTCATGGCTCATGTTATTTGTTGAAAGCCACATCAGTTTACTGTAATCTTGTTGTCCACCACAACAAATGTAAGTTTGTTTGTTTTTATTTTATTATTTATTTATTTTTTACAGATGATGAAAATCAGTCGTGTGAATAAAGAACTTCAATCCCCAAAAAACATTCAAGGAATTTCAAGGACAAGTGTAATTTTTGGCTGTTTTCACAAACTTTCCAGGGCCTTGAAATCATTTTTTAAAACTTCATACACTTTCAAGGATTTCAAGGACCCGTGGGAACCATGTAAACATCAAATAACAACTAAGAACATGTGACATGAAATATTACTTTGCTTTACTTGACAAACCAACAAATAAACCGATCAACTTTCCAGAACTTGTCTATTAAACCTTTTAAATACATCAGTCATGAGGTTTAAGAAAGAAAACAAGAACTTCAATCTAAGAAATAACATTATATACTTGTTTCTCTGTTTTCTGAGCATGGATCTCATTGTGTTCTGCTGTGTCATCAAAAATCATTTTCTCGTTTAAACAGATTTAGCTTCCCTTGTAGTGTTTTTTTTTTAAACTTCAGAAGTTCATGTTTAATCCAGCACAACTTCCTCTATCGGCCTGAATCTGTGGTTGTGTTGCGTTAAAATCAATGTTTATTTGCATGACATACGTTGTAGAGCTGTCTTTTTGTTATTGTTTATATTGTAGCAGTGTTGTAGCTAGATTAACGGCAGCAATACATCGCCTGTCGGCTAACTGGAATGCAGTTTCATATGGTTTGTTGGGAAATGACGTCACTACCATTTACCAGATCCGGGAATACGATGTAAATGGAAYGCAGCATGAGGCCTGAAATTGTACTATACCGATTTATTTACCAGAACGTTGAAGGATTAAACTGCCAAATAAAAAAATATTATAAATATTTTACACACCCAGTCTGAACTGCTTGAATTTGCAGTTTTTATTCTGTGTGGACTATTTTGTGCAAGTTTAAACTACTCTTTTGACTAAATCTATGTCCACAATCCTCACAAACAAACAGATTCTGTCCTGTGTGGACCCTCGTGTGTTTGACTAAATTAGGCTTATAGCTAAATCTTTGTCTACAATCCTCATACAAATGGTTTCTGTCCTGAGTGGATGCTTATGTGTGAGTTTAAATGAGTCTTGTAGCTAAATCTATGTCCACAACTCTTGCATACAAAGGGTTTCTGTCCTGTGTGGACTCTCATGTGTGAGTTTACTACAATTCTGACTAAATCTTTGTCCATAGTCCTCACATTCAAATGGTTTCTGTCCTTTGTGGACTCTCCAGTGTCTGTTTAAACTACTCTTATGCCTAAATCTATGTCCACAAACCTCACATACAAATGGTTTCTGCTCTGTGTGAACTCTCATGTGTGAGATTAAAAGACCCTTCAGGCTAAATTTATGTCCACAGTCCTCACATACAAATGGTTTCTGCCCTGTGTGGATGCTCATGTGTGAGCTTAAAGTACTCTTCTGACGAAATCTATGTCCACAGTGCTCACATACAAATGGTTTGTGTCCTGTGTGGAGTGTCATGTGTTGTTTTAAATTGGCCTTATACCTAAATCTATGTCCACACTCCTCACACACAAATGGTTTCTCTCCCGTGTGGACTCTCTTGTGTTTTCTTAAATTACTTTTATGGCTAAATCTATGTCCACAGTCCTGACATACAAATGGTTTCTCTCCTGTGTGGACTCTCTTGTGTTTGGTTAAATTAGGCTTAGAGCTAAATCTATGTCCACAGTCCTCACATACAAATGGTTTTCCTTCTGCGTGGACTCTCATGTGTGAATTTAAATAAGACTTACAGATAAATCTAAGTCCACAGTCCTCACATACAAATGGTTTCTCTCCTGTGTGGACTCTCATATGTGAGATTAAATTAGTCTTATGGGTAAGTCTATGTCCACACACCTCACATTCAAATGGTTTTTCTCCTGTGTGGACTCTCATATGTGTGTTTAAACTTGATTTTCTGGTCAATATTTTACCACATTCATCACAACTAAATGATTTGGGTTCTGTCTGGACTTCTCGGTGTGACTCTACATGTTTCTTCTCTCTGACAATTTTCTTATGACTCAACCAGTTTGAACGTTTTACTGTTGAATGACATGTCACGTGTCTCTGAAGAGACCGCTTGTGGAGATATTGTTTACCACACTCAGAGCAGCTGAAACTGTTGTTGACACAGTTTACACCGGACTCAGGAGCCCTGCTGCCCTTCCAGTCTTTCTCACTGTCTTCAGTTTCTGATCCAGAGTCCGATAAGTGTTCCAGCTGAGAATCAATATTGTACCCATTCTTTTCCTCTTCATCATCCTCACTGACTTCAGTCTCTGAAGAGCTGGAAGCATCTTCGAGAGGATTTAGATCTGGGTTCCTGCTGGTTTCTGCTC